TAACAAAACAAAAAAAGTGATGTGCTGCTCTGTGTTTGTATCATATGCTACACACATGTAAAAGGTGTTTTCAGCTGCTCAGTTTACAGTAAATGCTGCTACACTAAAGCTGGATTCAGACAGACATTGTGAGCTGCGTGTTTTATTACGCATTGTCCCCCTGTGGTTTTCCACCAAAATAAAAGCTTAAAGGTTTTACTGCTTAAAGACGTAAATATTTAAGAAATAATTGACAACTGGCTGTTGAATTATTAAAAAATATCATCATTTTAATACAATCATTTTAATGAATATTGTGAATAGAATTAATAATAATTAAAAATATTATTTTATAGTATTATGTTTAAATTGATTGGGTTGCTAAAAACAACAGTGTGAGTGTAGTTGTGGCAAAGAGAAAATGGCAAACGCAAAGACATTTTTTCCCACTCTGCTCAGTTTGGACACTGAAAAGGTCTGAGAAGGTTCTTGTAAAGAGTATATCCACGCACTTAAAGTATCTCTTTCTATTGGCATCAATGAGTGGTCTCTTTGTTCTTTTGCATGGATGTTTTACCAGCAGCAATATGAGATGATTTCATATTAAGATTAAATGTTTACATTTGCAGGTCAAGTCAATTGCAGTATGTAGTATGACAAAATAATCACAATACAAGTTTTGGCCAAATTGTGTAGCCCTAATGTATAAGTGCACTGAACAATGTAAGAAAGCAGTTGCAGAATTCTTGTATCTCTCTCTGTCTCTCTGGAGTATCACCAGGTAGCCGACCCTGTCTGAGTTTTTGTGACCCAGAGCTAAAAATATAAGTACCATTGTGTTCTTTCTGCACTTAGTTTGTGTTATTTGAATTCATCTCATGCTTTTTAGTTTAATGAGTCAAGTTTCCAGTTACAAGTTGGTCTAACAACCTTACCTTACATGAGTCACCAAAACCTAATTACCAGTCTCTCGCGCCCTTCTCTTTCTCTGCTGACTTCAGCCCACAGACCTTTGAGCACTATAACAGTTGGGTGTGTTGAGCTGTCTTTTCCCTTGAAGCAAGTTAACACTCTCTGTTTGTAGGTATGCCACGGGGGCGGCTTTTTGAACAGACCCTCCACGCTTTCTTTCTCTCTATGCCTCCACTTCTCTGTTCCTCTGTTGGAGTGCAGTGCAGTGGATATAGTACGGGAGTATGACAGTAGATGAAATATCAGCTCATTATATAACAACACATTTTGGATTATTTGGGACAGGCTAGTGGTTTGTGTAAACATAAACTATCATAAATATATTATGAAACCTGGCAATGTTTTCTTATTAGAAGTAAAAGTGGGTGAATATGCATATAAAAATGACATGGAACATTGTAACACATAAATAGAAAACGCTGAGGAGATGGAAAGGAGATGGAAATAATGAGGATATGCTCATAAAGACCTACGGTCACCGTAACGGAGATCTGTACTATTTGTTTGGACATTTTACCATTACAGCTCTTTCTCTTTGCAAAGTCTATACTCTGGAAATATGTTTGTATTTTACTGGTTTGGATTTAAACATGAACAGTATAAAGGGAATATTGCAATGGGGTACAGTTCGAAATCTGTGTATAAATCTGTCGATAGTGGAGTCTGCAATTCAGTCAGGCCCATACCTACTTACAGTAAAGACCACACAAACACACAAAGCCAAGTAGTACATTTCTTTATCTTTTGTCAGTTCTTGCATACTGACCTCAGTTTCCTCTCAGAGCTTAGTTCACACTAAGGCTGGGCGATATGTCAAAAATATCTTATTGATAATCGCCTTAAAAAATATTGCGATATCCGATAATATCATCTACCCAAGCCCCACCCGGTTCAGTTTGGTCTTAATTATTGCCACATTAAAGTTTGGTTATACTTTTCTTAGTTTGTGCTTAAACTAACAGAAAATATTAGCTTTGCTGTTATTTTGGTGTTGCTAATAATTTCCACTCTGTTCTTATCAAATTTGTGTTTGAAATGAATTTTGTTTTGTGAGGAGAACTGTTGAGGAAAAATAATTCATCCCAATTTTAAGGTCATTATGGTGAAGTTGGACATTCTGGTGGGGATTGTAAGAATGATAAATGCATGTTGATGTCATATAATAACGTCTTGAATAAAATATGCATATTTCCAATGTTTCTCTTTCTTTTATCACGTGTGTAGACACATTTCATGATGGTAATTTCCTTGATTATAACAATTGTAGCGTTGTTTTTAAACTTGTAGTCAAGCTATAACATAGGCTATTTGATATTTATCATACATGACTAAAATCATGTAGGGATTAAAAACGAATTTTGAGCAAAAACGTTTTTTTCCCCTTTCTGGTAAGCCCCCTTATAGTTCGGAGGTCTCTTTTGGCCCGTTTTTAACTAGATAAAAATAATACTTTATTTATTTAGAAGCAGGGTAATTTCAATTTCATTTTTGTATTATAATTTTTATTTAATGAATCAAAATACAACGGCCACAATATAATATTCGGTGTTGGGCTGCTGAAACTCCGAACACGTGCATGTTGAGGGGCGAGCTGAGATATAGACCTACTATAATGTCTTCATCCGTTAGCGCAAATGAATTAAGAATTTATAGTGCTATATCTCAGCTTAATTAAACATACTGTATACACTGTTTAAAAAATCTGTAAAAATTGGGCACTATGTGCGCTGTATAAATAGGCTATGAAGGAATTTGTGTATTTTAACTATAGCAAACTCATGTTTGTGGGTTTTCATCATTATACAGTCTGTTTAAATAAATATTCAGAAACGCATGCAGTGCTACTATTTGTCTTTTTTTCTGTTTAACTTTTATTAACCTGCAGATCAAAATAGAATAGGCCTACACCCTAAATAAGAATAAATTATATTGGAAAGCATCTCCAAAATAATCGCATAAACAGATGCACGTTGCCATTACAGTAGTCAGCGGGGAACAACAGGCAAATCAAATGTAAACTGAGGTTACAAAAGGGATTTAGTCAAGATCAGTGAGGGATTTTCTTTTCTTTCATTCTTTGATTAACATTAATGACTGGCGGCAGCGGCTGCTGTCAATGCACGGATCCAATACACCCTTGTTTTTTTTCTCAACTCTTTAAGTTCACTCTTTACGACATAACCGATTGTATTTATGGGATATTTTGATATAATTCTGTGTGTATTTGTCCATTCGAATGTGTAAGAATGCAAAAAAGAGAGCTCAGTCCAGTGAGAGGCGGCTTTAGTGCGTGCGCTTTGTGTGTGTGTGTGTGTGTGTGTGCAGCACAGAAAACAGCGCGCGAGTGCAGAAGCGAGTTCTATTTCGTCTTCTTGCAGTTGAATCTTTTGAAATCACAATAAATGCGCATACAGAAATCAAGAAACAGAATCGAAATTTTATTTTATAAGAAGTAATTCAATTCCTGACCTCATGCATCTAATCTCATTTCCAAAATTGGAATAGCTTTTCGATTCCCAACCCTCCTACTAAATAGTTTCATCCTTGCATGCAAAAAGACCTGTATGGTGACTATGGGGCTATGTAAAATATTTTTTGCAACTTACTAGGTTTGTCATTTGTCATTTTTTTCCGATAATGTCGATAATCGTCTGTTACCTGACTGTTGACATCGACATCGCGATACTTACGAGACATCGTCGATATACGATAATATCGTCATATCACCCAGCCCAAGTTCACACAGTGGTACATTTTAAAATTGTCACCTCTGCTGACCTTAGCAATGAGAATCAAAGAGTGACATTAAAGACAGACACACATTGTACTGCCACTGTCATCTTCACATCTGATTATTCAGCAAATTTCTTAAGGAACTAAATAGTATTTTTAGAACTTGGTAACAGTGAACTTAAATCACCAAGCATTTTTAAATTGCTGAATAAACCTGTGAAGGCCACATGACATCATTATTATGACAGTACAATATAATAGGCATTAGTCTTTTATAGTATACTTTTGTAGCCTTTATTCATTACATTATGAGAGACAAGCACTAGTGTCGTCCACCAGGAAAGCACTTGACTGTCACTTTAAATTCTTGCTTGAACTCTGACAGTGTCATGGTTATATTCACGGACTGTTTATGGAAAATGCATATTTACAGTGTGACTTTTTTCTTTATCGTTTATTTGCATTGCAGAATAATGTGTCAGTCGTGGTGTATTTTTTGAAAAAACAGTTACTCACTGGTGACCTTTAACAGTGTGGGAATCGAATAACAGGCCTGTGAGCTCGCATGACTTATGAAAGTTCTTTTCAAACGAGATCAAACTGTGGTGCTTGAGTTATGCACATCTTTTTTCACAACCAGCGTTGTTTATACTCTCTAGTACTTCATTTGTCTGTGAGTTTAATTACAAAATAGTTTTTCATTAGATTCCACTGTTTTTATTATCTCTTGTTAAATATAGAGTAACCGTATACTAGACTGTGTTTCATCGGACAGTAATGTAGGTGGTCTTTTCATATGAATGTGCTAAATAGAAAGACGTCTTATGAGCATTAATCTAATTTTATTCATTAAGTGTTCCACAGCATGTTTATTCTGACATATTTAGCTGGATATCATTATGATTATGATAATGTGTTTAAGGAGTTAGTGTTTTGTGTTTTAAGGCCTTGTTCAGACTGTCAGTCCAAATCCTATTTTTGTGCATGTCCGATAAGAATCGGATCATATTTTGGCAAGTGTGAATGGCAAAAAATCTCATGAAATATGATTTTTACAAAACCGTTTCAAGCTATATTGATATGTAGTTTGAAATCCTATTCAAATCACTTTTCTGGAAATCTGTTTCAGTCTGACCGCTCAGATTGAGATTTAGTGTAGCTTTTCTCACACCGTATAAAGTGTAAACACATCAGACGTTGTTGGTAGAAAATATGCTGAATGTGTTTGCAGAAATGTATGACACTCTTTTTCTGCGAAACACAAGATATTTAAAAAAATGTCTAATGTCCATACAATGATAGTAATTTCAGTAAAAAAAAAAATAATTTTTAGGTAAACTATCCCTTTAAGGGCACTATTGAGAAGTCTCTCTGTGGGATCAGAAAGAGTGAAGAGTGAGAGCGGAGATGACTTCTATAAATATCGCTGTCAGATACACTTTCTCCAGGTAACGTTACCTGAGCGCAGTCAGGTATATCATGACCACATTATACTCCTGAATCAATTGTTATCGTATGTCGTCCAGTTACGTAGCATTGCTGATTAAAGGAGGTTTCATTTTCTTGATTACGATTCAGACAGATACTCGGATGCAGAGGATTTAGATGGTTTTCTTCAGCTTCATCTGAGCTGCTAAATAAGTCACACGGGTGAGAACTTAAGAATAGAGTTGATTGGCATTGAATAGCACTAAATAGAGCTGATTGGAGTGATTAGTGGTGGTCTCATAACCCATCATTGTTATTTCAAAAAAGGTCAAAGGAATAGCACTGCATTCATGGAGACAGTCGGACCAGATTTGTTCATGTGTGTTGTCTGTGTATTGTGTGCGCTGACTGACTCGCTCTTGCACCCACAGCATCCTCTGGGGAAGACATCAGTCGTGGCATATAGTGTCTTCTCTTATCACCGAGTCCAATGGATGCATTGTTTGGCCTGCGTTTCAGACGGAAAGCCTGTGAGCCAAGCGGACACAGGTGCTCCAGCGTGTCACTTCCAGTGAGTAAAGCGCGCCGGCGCTCCAGCGTGGGCCTGCCATCAGCTGGCCTGGCTCAGAGACGCAGGTCTAGCTCTCAGCTACAAACCAGCAACGTGCCGACGGGAGTCATTCAACACAGAAGAGGACACTTCACCAGAAGGAGGTCGAGTGGTGCAACAGCCTGCCTGACCCCACGGTTCGCTATCCGACGGAGACAGGCTGCCAAACACCGTAGCATTTATGCCCAGCTCCTGGGCCCATCACTGCTCCTGGCTAGTGTGGTTCAAATGAGTGAAGATCACGAAACTGAGAATAAGAGTGCAGAAGAATACTCCTCTCTCTCTGATAGTGACTGTAGCCAGGAGGAGCACAAGCAAGCAGGGATGGACTTAGAGTCAGAGTCTGATAAGTGTATGACGTGGTTGGCTCAGGGTGTGTTGGCGGGAAAAAGTATTCAGCCCCGCCCCCTCATCCGTGCCCCACGTTGCCTGCGGCGAAACTCCTCACACCTACTTCCTGCTGAGGCCGTTTACCGGAGCCCAGCCTCTTATGGGCTGTACGGCCGTTACCGTAGGACCAGTCAGGCACAGGGTCTGTCTAATGTAGGTGGATTGTGGGCAGGGAGGCGAAATTCTCTTGCAGCTCGAGGATCAGTTGAACTGTACAGGACGAGCTCCCCTTGCTGGACGGATCTCGGTCTTTCACCCACACTGCAGGAAACATACTACAACCCACAGATTGACACATGGAGTGCGTTCCTCTCGTATGTAGAGCCCTAACTACAGCTGTATGTCTTAATATGTGTGTGTTTGTACCAGAAGCTATTTGGACTTTGCTATCACTTTTTGTTGCTGTGGGTATGTGAGAGCATGTCTCTCTTGTCGCTTTTGGGGAAAAACATTTTTTTATCAGCACTACATAATTTCAACCCCAAAGTGAATGACCTTAATGCTAGCCTTAGCACTCCAACAGTAATTCCAATATATGTGATTAGTAAGGAACTTTGTCTCTTGTATTCTTTCAGATAATTTGAAACAATAGTGAACTATTCCTTGAATTGTATATGCAAGAAATATGATTGGTGGAGTTTGAGAGCAGTGGGTTATTTTATGAGTGTCAGTTTGGAGTGCAGCTGAGCTGAACACAAAGTTTCAATGTTTCTGTTTCTCATTCATTTTTACTCTCTACTTTCATTGAAATATCTCTCTTCTGCTTTTTTATGGTTGACATGTGACGCACACTGTTAAACAACAGTACTCTGAATCTTTTGTTTTGTTTGACACTTTTACTGTTCTTCTTTGTGTATGTGTAGATCCGGGCTATACATTGAGTTTCTGACTGTTTATAATTTTTCCTTGATGTTTTATGGAACCTTTCTGTTTTGTGTTTGTTTGTAGGAAGGCCATTGCCAAGTCCGGTCTCCAGCACCTCTCATGCCAGCCCAGTGCTGCAGTGTTGGCCAAGGGGGAAACAGACAGAGAAATCCGCAGCACAGTGGACTGGAGTGTGAGTAACACAAACCCAAATAATCTAGACTTCAGATCTCTCTTCTTTGTACTCTTGATAGAGCTACAGTTTCTTCCTCTGGTTTCACATTTAATTTGATGCTTTGTATTTGAGCAGGAATCAGCTCTGTACGGAGAGCACATCTGGTTCGAGACTAATGTCTCTGGGGACTTCTGTTACGTCGGAGAACAGCACTGTTACGCCAAATCCCTGGTGAGTGTGTGTTTGATAGGAATGTCAGTATATGTCCCTCTTTAAAGGGGTCCTATTATGCTCTTTTACAAAGTCTTGATTTTGTTTTGGGGGTGTACTAGAACAGACTCTCATACCATGTTGTTTGAAAAACATTATTTTTCACATATTTTACATTATTACAACACCTCTCTCCACTGTCTGTTATGAACGGCTCGGATAGTTCTTGTATCAAATGAAGGCCCGCCTTCTGAAATACGAAATGCGCTGTGATTGGTTAGCTGGGTCAGTGTGTGTTGTGATTGGCACCACTCGGCGCCTGGTCGGGAAATGTCCTGCCCCTTACCATAGCCTCCTGCAAGCTTCAGTGTAAATATTGCATCAAAATCAAATCAATTTAAACCTGGATGATTGTAACCACTCTAAGTTCGTCTGCCTTGGAAAAGCAAGCATGTCTCCGATGTAGTGATAACACTCATTGCCTTCTCTAGTGCAGCTCAACCAGGTCTCGTCCCATTCGTCGATATTTGTGATATATCAAATCCCGGAAATATGCATTGTAGTCCAAACGAGTCATTCGTTGTAGTTTTTAAAAAGTGATTTCTGTTAAATAAATTATCTCCTTTTGAAGTGGACTTTGAGCTTTGTAACTTTGCAGATCTTTTTTTATGCTGAAACGGCAACATCACAGACTAACTAAAGTTGAAAAAGTGAAAGTGAGTAAACAGAGGAGAGTAAATAGTGGGGCGAAAGTGAGATGCAGCAAATTTTAGATTCGAGAGAATAACAGATTGTATAATATACAGCAAAATGGTGATGGAGAATATAGAAATAGATGGAAGGTAAAGGGGGGAAAAGAGAATCTCTCAATTGAACATTTCTCTTTTTCACTCATATTTTCTCTCTTCGTGTAATGCTACCCTCTGGTGGCTGGCTTGCAGAATGCATTGCATAATTTCAACTTTCAAATTGTGTGCATTAAATCATGATTTAGTTCTTTTGATTGTAAATTTTATATCAAGTGAAGATCACCTGTCAGAGTAAATCTAATGTCTCTTTTTCCTGGTTTTCACAGCAAAAGTCTGTTGCTCGGAAAAAGTGTGCTGCTTGCAAGATCGTAGTTCACTCCATCTGCATTGAACAGCTGGAAAAGGTGAGTGCCATTACCAGTGGAAACACAAAGGTAGAGTCATGATCTGACACTGCATCACAGACCATACGTGTTCCTCCCTTCAGTTATTGGACTGGAATGCTCCACCTCAAGGGGAGGGGCTTGATGAGGTGCCTCTCAAAGACCCATCATTCAGAGTGAGAAACTCTCTAGCTTTTTCTCCGACTCGGCTGGGGCTAATGGATCACTCACACATCTGATCTTAGTAAAGACTGGTGACTGTCTGGCCTGATAAACCTAGAACAGCCAAATAACAGAATCCTGTTAACATCTGGAGCCACTTTAGCTCTCAGTCCATCCAGCCTGTGAAGGGGGCATTCAAATGTTTTTTTTTTTCAACTTAATTGGTTTGAAGTTAAGACAAAATCTGGTTTAACCATGCAATTCAGAAAGGTTTTCTTGCCAGACATATTCCGTTTCTTATTAGTAGGGGTGCTCCGATCAGGATTTTTGAGGCGATCATAGAAAGCAGTATCTGCCGATACCGATCACCGATACCGATCTTTTTAATGCCTTCTTTTTATCATTTATAACTATTTATAGTGATACCCCAATCAGGATTTTTAGACATTTATTCAGGCCTGAATTTCATTTTTGAAAATGGGGGGAATTCCCCTCTTAGGTGACTCTTGTGAGAGGAAAAGCAGCTTTCACAGGAGTCCGCTACTGATCCATGGCTGTTTACCACAAACACAACATTTATCCATTATTTTGATTTCAAATCCAAACATTGTCACTGAAAATGCTTTTTCGGCATTGCAATTATTTTTTTTTACACGGTACAGTAATACAATCTTTCACAGACATGTTTAAGCATAATAAATATAAGCAACACATTATTCAATGCTTTTTACTTTTGCATTTACTTTAGATTTATATATGAAGTTGCTCAAGCAAGTGGCAAAACATTTAAAATACTTTTCTTATGTTATCACAAACTTACCATTGACATAAACTGTCAGCCTTTCCTTTTGCACAGAAATCTTTATTACAAGCATTCCTGTGGTTCATAAAGAACTTTGTTTTCCTACGCACGAGTGCCATCTATTATTGCCTTTTTTATCTAAAAGTGCTCCTTTTCCTTTAAACCTAGCCAAAAAGCCATATGTGTTGACTGTGAAACACAGTAGACTTTAATAATATGCATTTATGGTGTAATTACTACATTTTCGTGTCAATCCATGTACATATTTACTGCAAAAAAGTAAACTTTTGTTACTTTAATTCAGCGCTTGCAGTGCAGCAATAGACTCTGTGCGGAAACGATCTCTGCACTTTTGCAGACACACCGCTACTGAAGCGCACTGCTGGACATCAACTGTGTGCAGTGTGCACGCTTTATTAATCTGTTAACATGAGCGCAGAAAAAATACGCACCACATTCGCACTGCAAACGGAGTAATGTGAACCTGGCATTATGTGTGTGCGCTGCGAGTGTGCATGAACGCACGGTCTCCAGGAGAGCGTGCGAGCTCTGAATGGTTAAACACTGGCAAGAATTAAAAAGTAATGCAATTTATAAACTTTACGATGACGATTTTGTGACTGTGACACTGCCTCGATTGTGCAAGTGACAATTCCTGTGTCAACTGTGCAGTGTGCAGCTCTCTTGTAGACAGACACGATGTGTGGTGATTTGAAGAAATTTGCATATATATGTATATAGAGAGAGTGATGATTCACTCACGCTGTTTGTGAAATTACGCCTCACACAAGGTTTTCAAATTACTTTACAAGTTATTTAATGAAGAAATATGAAGGTGAGTACCTCACCTTCAGCATTATAATTGTTTCACCCAGGCCGGGCGGACAGAGATTGAGACGGTGCCGCTGCATGTCATGCCAAACCTCTCTCGGCAGCGTCATCAGCTTGAGATAGTTTTTTTGAGATCGGCCTTTATAGAGACCGCAGATCAAACATCCCAACGTGATTATCGGCCGATAGTGATCGGTAGCCGATCAATCTGAGCACCCCTACTTATTAGTACCTAAACCACTATCCGTGTGATTGGGCAAGTCAGTGTCGGGTTGGTGGAGTTTTATTTTATCCAGGAGGCACAGATCCTGTGTGCTCAGTATTGAATCTGGCTGGTGTCTTCAACAGTTTATGCCTGGAATGTGGGGCTGATTGTGGTGAAATGATGTTTGATCAGGGATGATTTTAATCATACTTCACACACTAATCAGTTTAACAAACTCAGAGAAGACTTATGGCGCTTTTCCACTGCGTGGTACGGCATGGTTCGGCTCGGCACGGTTTGTGTTTCCACTGCAGTTCAGTACCGCTTTAGAGTGGGCGGGATTATTCACATGTCGTTATAGTTGCGCCGCCTCTACTACCACGACTCCTAAAAAAAAAAAACTCTTTCATTCCGGTTCGCCCCATCAAGCTCTCGCTGGATCCGCTCCTCTGCTATCAACGAGAGGAACGTCTGTACTTCCGCAACAGACAACAAAACTTTTTGGTTGTTAAAAAAGGTGCGCTCGTTCAAAACAGTTGTGTTCGATCCTTCGCTGGCTGTGCTGATTTAAATCTAGCGGTTCTTTTGTGTTTGTGTCGCAAGTTCAGTGACGCAGGTAGTGACAATTCTCTCCGGCCAATCAGTGATCAGCAAAGGTCGCGTTTTGGTAACGGTACGGTTCACTTGAAACCCCAACCGAAGTGGTACTAAAAAAAAGTACCAGGTACCAGGTACTGTACCCAGTGGAACCCCCCACCCCCAAATGTGAACCGTACCTAGCCATACCGTGCCGTACCATGCAGTGGAAAAGCGCAATTAAAGGCAAGTGGTGCTTCTGGTGTTTGTTCTGTTCTTATACGCTTTTAAAATTCCAAAATTTATTTTTCCCTCTTTAGAAGTATTGAGCTCAGTTGGGAATCTCCAAATCTGAGCTTGTTTTCTGGAAAACAATCTATCAGTTTGTGGTTTTGATGAGCTACTGTATGATTCTTAGGGTTTAAATTAGGGTCAATACTGAATAGTATTGTAGAAAATAAGGTTTTTTCATTTTCTTTCAGATAAACTTCAGATGTAAACCATCTTTCAGGGAGTCCGGTTCACGGAACATCCGGGAAGTGAGTTTCTTCTTTTCCTCTTCTTTATTTTATTTTTAAAATAACTCTCCCATTTTGCCTGTTTTCCGATTCTGTCAAACTTATTGCTGTAAAACCTTCATAGCTCGATATAAACAGCCAACAGCAGTCTGCTAAGAGACCGTTTTTATTATTAAGATAATAAGTTCTTCATTTTCTTCATTGTTATTTGTAAGTTTAAGATGTATAAGTAGCTGTCTGAATGACCCCAGACTGTTTACACACACACTTTAGGGGCAGGTGCTGTTTGCTGTTTAAATCTTTCTTTTACCCTTTTTACCCTCTGTTTTCCTTTTTACACATCCCCTCTGTTGCTCTCACTGCTGTAATCCATCCCACGTCTCATCATCCCTATCTCTCCATTGCACTTCTGCTCCCTCTGTGTTCCCTGTCTCTTCCTTGTTTCCCATCTTGCCTTGGTGGGTTAGCATACCTGGCGACGCAGAGCTTTCAGAGGTCGCCGTGCTTTGGAGCAAATGAGAGGTGCTGCAGCTAAATGTAGTGCGCACACCTCTATCACACAGGTATCACACACACACACCTTTACTTGGCTAAATGAGGGCTTGCGCATTTCTTTTGTTTTAAAATAAATCTAATTACAATTACTACAAACTAACTAGTTAGTTAAAATTAGATTTTTTTCGTGTTTACAACAAATAGATAATGATCCACAAATAAATTTAGTATATAAATGAACATTGTGCGAAAGTTTCAAATCTGTTTGTACTCTCTGAAGTAACGCAAGTGTGGGAAGTGTGTCAGAAACTGAACAGTGCATTATAGTTATTATAAGGGGAATTACAGTTCGCTCCATTTTCTGTAATCATGTCACATCTGTGCCACTCACGTCTGGTACAGACATTGTGTAAGCCCAAACTATAACACTTAACCCTAAAAGACAACTTAAAACTACAAAAACGTATATAATTAATTTATACTTAATTTTTATAACTTAAAAAAATCTGAATGATCTTTCGTATGGGTATTTCTAAGGGAGTTTGTACCCAAAGTATTTAAGTATTAATTTTCCAACACTCACACAGGCATTTCATCATGGCGTTCAACTCATTTACAGACATTTTGGATACATCTCCAGAGGTTTTCTGTTCTCATGATTTCTGTTCTGCTGTCTTCTCCTTCAGATTTTATCTTGATGCCCCACAGCATAACCCCACAACATTACTGGTTTGATGTGGCATTTTTAGCACAGATTGTCATAATCTGTGAATGGCACAGCTATATGAGGTCTTGTGTGTGTTTTTTTTTATGACAGCCAGCAATAGTGCGACACCACTGGGTCCATCGGAGAAGACAAGAGGGCAAATGCAAACAGTGTGGAAAGGTGGGTCTAATAGATCACAAGTGTTCAGACATAATCTGTTTGAGACATTACATATATTACATGTACATTTCAAAAGCCTAATGAATGAAGACTAAAGTTTATGACAGAATCTGATCTCCACCTACAGGGGTTTCAGCAGAAATTTGCCTTTCACAGTAAAGAGATTGTAGCCATTAGCTGCTCCTGGTGCAAACAAGCAGTAAGTCTCTCAGGCTATATGCAATAGTGTGTTGTCGTACTGTAGAGTATGTAAATGTGTGTAACTTTCCTTTCTTTCTCTGTCTGTCTGCAGTATCATAATAAGGTGACATGCTTTATGCTGCAGCAAATAGAAGAACCGTGTTCATTAGGAGCACATGCCGCCGTTATAGTACCTCCTACCTGGATCATACGGGTTCGCCGACCTCAGGTATTACACATTACTTCTCTATTAGGATTGTTGGGCAGTTGTATTGGAAACATCCACAAGTCGAATTAGATAAAGAATTGAATTTGGTGGCTGTGTAAATTATTAAGCAGTGCTATCAGCATCTCTATGGCTAAATTAAATGTAAAACGTGAGATGTAAACACCTTCGGTACAAACCCCAAGGCATTCTGGCTGCAATTTCTGCACATTTTCAAATCGTGGTGTAGTATTACTTTTTCAAACATTTTTTAAGAAATGGTCTGGTCTGTTTTACTATGTTCTGAAATGTTTTTGTCTTCTTGAATTGTTTAAAAACTCCAACATACAAAATGTATGAGACAGCATTCTTTGTTCAGCACTCAATTAGAATAAGTATAAGTAGTTTAAAGAAAAAAATGGCAGTTGTGTTCTGTGTTTTCCATTAATTTTAAACGCTCAGAAACTGTATAGAACCAGAGAGCATTTTTATGCTGAAATGTAAATCTTTTCATCCACAGGTACTGTAGTTTTCCATTGTGTTTCTAATGATTGTGATTTCGCTGTGGAGTGCTTTTGTAATGTTGTTGTGCTACTTTTTAATCGTAGTCCTCACTAAAGTCAAGCAAAAAGAAGAAACGAACATCTTTCAAACGCAAATCCAGCAAGAAAGGAGCAGAGGTATGAGTACAACCAAGTAATTGTTTAGTTTGCCCAGAGGATGATTCAATTAAATAAGCAACTTTTTGGGGGGGGATATTTACATCTTCACCCCAGTCACTTTCTTTTTCTTCTTTTCCAGGAGGCTCGATGGAAGCCCTTCATTGTGAGACCTATTCCCTCTCAACTCTTGAAGCCACTGCTGGTGTTTGTAAACCCAAAGAGTGGAGGAAACCAGGTATTATTATAACATGCTATAGCGAAAATAAGAAGTAATTATTTAGTATTAATTATATTAATAATAATTAAATAAAACACAAAAATAATAATCACCTATATCAACTTTCCCCCCTCTGTTCTCTCTCATCTTCTCTCAGGGAGCTAAAATCATCCAGTCCTTTCTGTGGTGTCTGAACCCTCGGCAGGTTTTTGATCTCAGTCAGGGGGGTCCTCAGGAAGGGTCAGTACCTGCATGTGGAATACTTCACAATGGGGGTTCCATGTTTTTGTCATCCGATCCCCTTTAACAGCTTTTATTAGCTTTTCATCAACAAAAGCAGTTAGTTCCATCACGGTTCGTAGGGTAGCTCTGCTTCAGAAGAACAATACTTATCTGTCCCATTGTTATGATGTGTTTCAATAAGATGATTGATATTTTTATGTATATTCATTCTTTTTATATGTTTTAGCTTGGAGATGTATCGCAAAGTTCACAACTTGAGAATTTTGGCCTGTGGTGGGGATGGCACGGTGAGTGAGTGAGTGTGTGTGTGTGTGTGTGTGTGTGTGTGTGTGTGTGTGTGCGTGCGTGTCTATATGTGACAAAATAATCTGCTAAGAAATAGTCTGTGATCACCTAGTGTAGCTGTTAGGCGAATGGATACTGTAGGAATTATGAACCCCCTCCAGCAAGGAAGCGGCACTGCAGTCTTATCTCCCAGCCTGTGAGCGGCGTGAGAGATGATTCTCTCGAGTCATAATACTATTCACTATTCAGATGAGTCATGTGTTTGAGGAGTTTTCTGACATATAGTGCTGATGTGTGTGTCCTGGTTTACCCCATGCTGTCACATCTCCGTAATCCGTTTGTGTGAGTAATTAAGAGTGTTAAAGGGGAATCATATTTCATACCCTGACTTTGATCCATGAGAGAGAAGTTTGGGAATAATGCCTTAAGCCCAACTGAAATAAGGAGTTTTAATCCACCCTTCCCATCAGTCGTCTTACATCCTGCTGAACAGCCGAGTTTCTGTTTTCTGAGTTAAACTCTCCATATATTCATATTCTCCTGTGTTTTTCTGTGAGGTTCTCTAGAATTGATGTGATTTTACAAAACAAGTTATCTAACTCTAACTTGTTTGTTATTTAGGTATTATATGATTTTAGCCGTATGGGTATCTGATAGGGACATTTAGATTTTTATGGATTTTGTTTTTTAAACATTTTGAGCATTTCTTTTATCTCTCTCTCACACGAATACACACACACACACACACACACACACACAGACACACACTCACGTTAACTGATTCTTTGTCTCAGGTGGGCTGGATTTTGTCCGCTCTTGATCAGCTGCAGCTAAACCCTTCTCCTGCTGTGGCAGTACTTCCTTTGGGCACGGGAAATGACCTCGCTAGGACGCTAAACTGGGGTGGGGTGAGTTGACCTTCGGTTTGAACTCTGCACAGTCAGACACATTCATTCCAAACATCAGTCTAAATTTCATTGTAATTCATGTAGCATAGTCTGCTCATCCATTTATAGAATGGTTTGATGAATGGGCATATTTTGTACAACCCGTATGCATGTAGGGTTACACAGATGAACCTCTGAGTAAAATCCTATCTCACGTTGAGGATGGGAATATTGTACAGCTGGATCGATGGAATCTTATTGTGAAGCCCAACCCAGAGGCGGGGCCAGAGGAAAGAGACGAGCAGGTGACAGACAAGGTACAGTAAGAGCTCCACCTGCAGTGCTGTTTCTGTTTGTATCTGTAAGCAGCTGAAGAGTGATTGATGTTTCTCTTCTCCACAGCTCCCTTTGGACATCTTCAATAATTACTTCAGCCTTGGGTTTGATGCTCATGTGACTTTAGAGTTCCATGAATCCCGAGGTTGGTGTAAAGCCACTATTCTGTCATATAAATGTGACTATTTAATAGCAAGACAGTGGCTGTGTAAAAGTTAAGGCTTGAGTTTCTTCTGCAAGGTCAGATTTATTGGTGCTAATTGAGATTAATTATGGTTTGTCCTCTTACTCTTCAGAGGCCAACCCTGAGAAATTTAACAGCCGATTCAGAAACAAAATGTTCTATGCAGGGGTAAGTGAAGCACATAAACTCAAACAGCAGAGTCCTCACAAAGTGCTCACTTCATCCTGTCAATTTGATCTAACTGTGAATGATTCATCCATGCATTTTTTTTTTCTTTCAAGTTTTGACATTGTAATTCTTAATCAGAATATTGTAACTGGATCTTCCAGTATGCTTGGCTTCTCTAATCATTTAGTCCACCTTATCTCCACCTCTTTCTTACAGTCAACTTATAGCTAACATTCTGATTTGCCAATCAATAAACAATGCATAGAAACAAGTCCCTGCCCAACATTTTCTTTCTTTTCAATAACTTGAATGTACATCACAATACAGAGAGTATCTGAGAATCTGTCGCTGCTTCTGGTACATCACAACTTTATTGATCCAAAACCCCTTCGTTAACCACAACATTAAAAATGTGACACTGAGTTGGTGGAGACTGAAATGTAAATGATGTTTCCTTTTTCTACAGACAGCGTTTTCTGATTTCTTGATGGGCAGCTCCAAAGATCTGGCTAAACACATTAGAGTGGTGGTAAGTATGGAAATAAACTAAACAAAGAACCCTTTGTGCAGAACAAGAGGGGAAATATGTGTGTATGCCTGTGTGCGTTTTGAAATGCAAATGAATATGCTGTGTTTTTTTAGGTTTGAGTCTAAGTCTTTTTGCATGCTTGTTTGTTTGCATTTCTTCCTCTTGGGGTTTAGCACTGAGAGATAGTGTGCCTAAATCTGAGTTGCAACCTTTTTTCTGCTGACTGTTGGTTTGTTTTGCTGATGTATTCAGTTTATACCACTTTCTTCTCTTTCTCATTCTCTGTAGTGTGACGGCACTGATTTGACCTCTAAAGTGCAGGATTTGAAGCTGCAATGCCTGGTCTTCCTCAATATCCCCAGGTAACACACTAAATCATTTTCTGTGATTTGTCTGTAAGTCTGTAAGATGTTTTTGAAAGAAGTAAACTGTAATACTGTGATTTTTTTTTTTACAATTTAAAATAACTGTTTTCTATTTGAATGTATTTAAAAATGTATTCATGTGATGGCAAAGCTGAATTTTCAGTTCTACATAAATCTGTGTGAAGATCTGCATGTTTGGATGTTCATATTAATCACAGGTACTGTGCGGGCACTATGCCATGGGGCAATCCAAGTGAGCATCATGACTTTGAGCCTCAGCGTCATGATGATGGCTGCATTGAGGTCATTGGATTCACGATGACATCACTGGTATGTTTCAACTACCTGAATTAGTTTGAAGTGAGTTTTTATAGTACGACTGGTGAATTTACAGTCCCTGTATTGTTTATGACTGTAGGCTACGCTGCAGGTCGGAGGTCACGGTGAGAGGTTAAATCAGTGTCGTGAAGTCACCCTCACCACCTTTAAGTCAATCCCCATGCAGGTGGATGGCGAGCCTTGCAAACTAGCTCCATCTGTTATTCACATCTCCCTGAGAAACCAGGCCAACATGGTGCAGAAGACCAAGAGACGCACATCAATACCACTGCTCAATGAGTGAGTGCAACATGTGGATGCTGTGTGTATATTATGGCCATCTCGATTCATATATATATATATATATATATATATTTACTACAAGGGTACCGTGGCAAAAAGATGAATGCTGTTTTTGCTCCTTTGACAAGCGCAGTCTGCTCTGATTGGCCAGCTGACCCAGTGCATTGTGATGGCCGAACACCACAAGCACTCGTCGGAAATGTACCCTTACCATAATCGCTGGGTTGTGCTGTTCTGTTGTAAATCAATCTTAACCAATGATTCTTAATTGCATCTACTTCCGGAAGGCCAAATAAAGTGCTTTTGCTTTCTCACTGAAACACAGCGTCTCCCTGACATGGCTGCATCAACACGACTTCTGTTCCTGAAACCACGCCTTCTTTCTTTGCGTGCACATTTGGGCGCCATTATGCTAATATTTCCACATAGTGACGTAGACATGTGGGGGCGTGTTAGAACGAGCCGTTTTAGGTAGGTGTGGCTGACTCTGAACTTTTATAAAGAATATCTCTTTGGATTTGAGACTTTAGTCTTTGCAGCTTTACAGATCTTCTTTATGCACCAAGAGCTTGTAACACTCCAAAGAGAAAGGAAAACTTGAAATCGCATCATATGACCCCTTTAACACCATGACAACTTTTCTCGACTGCGGTATCTTGCTTTCGTCTGTCATCTCCGACGATGTGACATTTTGTGTGGCAGTAGTAATATGTTATTGCCGCTGGTTTCAAAAGTAGCTGGTGATGGATTATTTACAATATTATCTTGTGAAGTATTAACATGATATTAAATATCACGGTTATCACCAGTACTGGTGTATAGCCAGTGGTGGGAGTAGCTTTACTTCGTTACTGTACTTAAGTACATTTTTCAAGTATCTGTACTTTACTGGAGTCGTTTTATTTTGAGTAACTTTTACTTTTACTTCACTACATTCCAAAGCATAAGATCGTAGTTTTTACTTCACTACATTTCATAAAACATATCGTTACTCCTTATAACATATCACGTGCTCTGAGACGCAGAAGCGCTGTCTGATTCAAGAACGAACTGATTCTTTTCAATGAACCTTTTAAATCGGTTCGCAAATCGCACCAAACGATTAATTGACGAATTAGAATGAACCGGTTGCAGTTTTTCTCGAGTCGACAACTCACTGATTCAAATGAACCGTTTAGTGCGAGTCTCCAGTGAACTGAATTCACAAGTAAGAACCGAGAGATCTTGTGAGCGCGCGCGCGTCTGATGCTGCTAAAAGGAACTAATGTCGAATTGTAGGATTAATTATTGTAACTGAAAATCATATTTAGGTCAAAACTGTCAGTTGTTTGGGAACTAAATCTGCTGTAAAGGTTGATCTATTTAAGCCCACTGAAATGCTTGAATGCAGACACATCAACATCTGTGTCTCTATTTTAGGTTAAAAACAAACCTGAAACATTAAAATAGCACAGACTAAATAAAATAATTAATGCGCGTTCATATTCCCCACTGTCATAACGTTATCAGTTTTATTAAAATGCTACGCATTTAGCCCTATGTGACGTCTGTTTTTATATTGTTTATCAACAGTATACATTTTTATATTGTTTGTATTAACTAGCCGAGTAGACATATAAGAATATTTATTCATAACCATACTGAAAATAAGTAAATATTGTTAGCTGATGCTAACTGTCTAGCTAACAAGCTTGCTGGTGCAAAGTTGAGGTCATTTTTAGATATAAAGTCCAAATATTTTTATTCAACCACCTAGATAGATTACATCTGGGGGAAAATAAAGGATGTGATGTTCAGAACATGGTAACTACAGTAATTACCAAAGTGGGTAGTGATGCACTCTGGGGGCATTTGGCCAGAGGTGTTTTTTACACCACAGACAAGGTTTGAGAAGAAAAAAAATCATTATGAAAATATAATTATATTTTCCTTAAAATGTTCTTCCTAACTTCAGGCTTTATTCTCATGTCATATATAACTGTGATGTTCTGCAAAACAACAAGCTTTAAAATATTTTTTTCTTACTGGTGAAAATCAGATGGTCAAATCTGTCTTCTCTCAGGTACATCGCAGTGTAGGCTTCATAGTGAACATTACTACATCACTCTCGTCAATGTAGTCCATAATATCAACAACAAAAATATATCTTGACGACTCCATATAGTGGATATTTTGGGAAAATTCCTGGTATTTTGAGCAATAGGATTATAAAAAATATGTGCTAATATAAATTTAAATTAAGTTGCCTTTATAAAATTGCTAAATAAATCTATCTATCAGTACTTTTTTACTTAAGTACATAAAAAATCAAGTACTTTTGTTCTTTCACTCGAGTAAAATTGAAAAAGGAGTACTTTTACTTTTACTGGAGTAATATTTTATTATAAGTATCTGTACCTTTTACTCAAGTACTTGATTTGTGTACTTCGTCCACCACTGTATATAGCAAAAAGCTGGGTATGTATGTGATATGAAGGAAACGGTCTGCAATTTCTGAATGAGATTTAAAGAGCATGACTGCTCTTTAAAAGGGTGCAGCACCAAAATGCATGTAGACACACACAAACATTTATTTGGTTTGAGCTGATGTTTAAAAAAAATAGTCAGAGTGAGCAGAAAGTTAAACTGCTGGATTGATGTCTCTCTATTGAGCTGTTACTGAAAGTGTGAAAATTTAGTGTGATTTATTCACTGTCACAGTCTCATTTCTTTTCCTTGGCACTTGAAGTGAATATATTACCCTCATAAATTGCTGCTAAGGACAGACAAGCTTGCTTAGTCCTGCTTAAATTAGATAATCGCTCTCTCTCAGGTTTTGTTCATTTCACACTTGGCCGATTTGAGGTGAACGAATTGTATCGACGGCAGATAGGCCCGTAATGAAACCTCGTTTAAAAAGCTAAATATCGGAAGTGGAGACAGATTTAATTAGTGTGGTGACACTGTACCTAGCCAAGACAGCATACTCACTGTTACACACAGCTGTTATCAAAAGCTTCATTTTGTGCTGTACATCTTTTGTGTTTGCATGTTTTTTTTTTTAATTCTATGAAATTTTTTTTTCATCCAGCAGTCAGCAGCCATTTCCAGAACGATTACGGATCAGAGTGAGCCGTATCAGCATGCATGATTATGAAGCTCTGCACTACGATAAGGAGAAACTCAAAGAAGCTTGTAAGTATAAAACACACACATTACAGTCCAGAAAATACACTTGCGACCCCTGGTGTGCTGTGATTAAAGGGTTAGTTCAAAGCCATAACCATGTCCTGAACACTGGAGTGGGGAAGGGCTGTTATGTTCTTTCTAATTAAAGGAAATAAATGATTAAAAGGGATTTAAGGAAATAAAGAAAAAGTAATTAGAACTTACAAGAAATTCTAATGGCCTGTTCACACCAAGAACCATAACTGTAAAGATGGCTATTACGATAAAGATATTAGCGTTCACACCATTGAACGATACTGTTCTGTTTATTATAAGCACAAAGTGCAGTTATGTCGTCTGCTGCTTTAAATGCGGAAGCGCTTTAAAATCAGGTGGATTCTGATTGGCTGTCAATGTTTTTATTGTTTATCTGCTGGACAGAAAACATTCTGTAAGACATTCCATTGATATAATTCCTCTTTGTTGTTATTGTTATAGTTATGGTGTGGACGTCCCTATTTTCACAGAATTATGTTAAAATTAAATTACAAATGGTAAAACTTTTTTTTCATCCCAACAACAAACAGAGCTGCATGTGCTGGGCAGCATCAAGAATATCAAATATTGGCCATTTCTAATTATTAGGGGGAAGTAGGGAAACTTGTCCTCCTCAGTCCACTTGTTAAGTCTGACGTCACACATGCTGGTTCGAAGGTTTTCAAGTGCTCTATCACATCCCAAAAGCAAACAGCATATGGTGCTAGTATACACTCACTCTGTGCTGTAATACTACCGAAATATCATGATCCTAACCTTTATCTCCATACAGAAATCTACGTTGACCAGACAGAAATTCATCTTTTCTGAATCGTTAAAATATTGGTGACTGGGACGCTGTGAGCTCAGAGAGTGTAGTGTACACAATACGTTTTTAAAAGCTTAGCTTAAATCTGTGCTTTAAATAAGCAGTGCTCATAAACGTCTGTTGAGATAGTATTCTTCTCACTTGAAACGGACTGGAGACTTGGACTCAGAAACCCAGAAACGGTATTTGTTATGTCAGGACTTAACAAGCAGATGTCTATAGCGGTTATGGCCGTATGTTAGCTCACTCAAAAGTGGACAGAAATCTCTTTTGAGATTTTATTAAAAATTATTTAATTTGTGTTTTTGTAAGAGTACATGATTCAAGCTGCAGTTGTATTTCTCAGCACTAGGTGTCGTCCCATCTCTACAGTGAGTGATTATTCTGTGTACAGATGGAATTAAGTGGATCTTTAAGAATACCTTCAGATGCAGTTTAATGTTCCTATTGTGTTTTTGACAGAGCAATTTGTGCCGATCCATCAGAGATTTTAACGTTACACATTTCTGGTTTTGGCGATACATCAGCAACTGTTCCCAAAAATAAATTCTTAGCTTCACAATAAATTGTGTGAAAATTTTGTTTTATCCTGCTAGTATGCAAGAATGTCTTTGTGTGTGTGTGTGTGAGAGAGCAAGCAACAGTAAGTGTATACACAGTAGTACATGTGCAGTTATAATCAATCTCGGTAACACTTTCTATGAAGCCCATATACAGTGGGTACGGAAAGTATTCAGACCCCCTTAAAATTTTCACTCTTAACAATATTGCAGCCATTTGCTAAAATCATTCAAGTTAAGTTTTTTTCCTCATTAATGTACACACAGCACCCCATATTGACAGAAAAACACAGAATTGTTGACATTTTTGCAGATTTATTAAAAAAGAAAAACTGAAATATCACATGGTCCTAAGTATTCAGACCCTTTGCTGTGACACTCAAATATTTAACTCAGGTGCTGTCCATTTCTTCCGATCAATAAGGGTATTCTTCTTACGGCATTATAATGACTGCAAAAAAACGTATAATATGTTATACCATCTTATGAATATTCATAAGAACAGTTTTAATGTATTATAATTTTTTACTTATTTGTGGTTATAGCTTTTAAGAGTATGATGATTTATAACACACAGTGAACATGTTGCATCCACTTAAGTTACAATGGATTATATTTCTCATAGTTATAATGTATTCTAAGTCTCCTATCTTGCCATCTTTCTTATGCTACTTTACCTAAAGCAATCAAAGACCACTTATAGTAAGTATAGTAATGATGATAATAATAATAATAATATTTTTCTCAAACAGCCATAAGATCAGATATCAGATCAGATGAATGTGTAATATGACACATTTGCTTTGAATTATTTTTATTGTAATATCAGTTTGGTTATTTTGATTGTACCCTTTAGACATCTGTTGATAAGTAACTCTGCAACTACATGTCAACTAGCAGTCATTGGAGTATTAGTAGTATGTCTGCTAAATATATGCTAACACTTTATTTTGGTGGTTGGTTCCCCAACCAGACAAACTGACTGTAAGTAACTTTGCAAGTACGTCAACATTCTACCTACCCTAACCTTAACCTAAGCCTACTAATACTCTAATGAGAGTTAGTTGACATGTAGTTGCAAAGGTGCTTATAGTCAATAGACTAAGGGGACCATCAAAATAAAATGTAAACTAACATAAAACCATTGCTTTTTTTTCAGTTGAAATTATTAACTAGCTCACATCAAAATTAATATTAGCCTCACAGGGAACACTCAACACCTAACCACTCACAAGATGTAGTAAGATACTGTGCAGAACTTAAATAAACAATGTCAAGATATATAGCCCATTATAAATGTAAAAGTAGATTTAATATGGTGTTCCTTGTGTGTTATAAATAATCATAATCTTAAAAGTTATAACCACAAATGTGTAAGCATTATAATGTATTATAATTGTTGTTATGATTATTTATAAGATGATATAACATATTATAAGGTTTTTTATAATGCATTATGCATTCATTATAATATCTTAAGAATACCCTTATAATGTATTACAAATGTGGGCTTCATAGAAAGTGTTACCTCAGTCTCTGTCTAAGTATACATGACACAATGCGTAATCAGATAATTGAAGTATTAAATACTCATTGCACATCACCTCTGTTTGATTAACTTGTATACATGCTGCACGAAGCTGAGCTACAATCACATTATCTAGGCCAGTTAGTCAGACTTTCCATGATGTTCATTTAACATCATAAAAAGACAAATTACTGCTTTAACTGAAATTAAACTTTTAAAGTGCATGTCAACTGCGAGATAGCGATTAGCTCTTTGCTGTTCATACAGCTGTTCTGTACTCTCTCTTTGTGATACAAAAATATACCACACATCCCTGTGTCTCATCTGCTCACTGCTGTCAAGTCCCTCTTCACTCTTCAGAAGAGGCTTGACAATACCTCCAACTGAAAAGAAAGAGAGAGAGCGCAGATCAAACCTGAATTGAATTTGGGAAGGACTGTTCAGATGTTGCTAAGCAACCCAACCTTCCTCAATTGAAGAGACCTCTCCCATTTCTCGCTACTCTCTCTCTCTCTGCTCCTTTCTTCCTGCTTCCCCTGTCACTTTCTCTCTGTCTCACTCTCTCACTTCACACTTTGTCAGAGAAACTTGCCATCCTCTTGAGAATGCTCATTTAATTTAGAAATGTTACCCTGCCTCTCTGAAGCGTGTGAGACTCGGCTCAGGGTAGGGCATGACTGCTGCTCCTCCAGCTTTCAAATGTACACTACTGTATCTTCATAACGCTCAGGGTGGTTGAGTGTATCACGCTACAGTTAGGATCTCAGTGTTGGATCTATGCTTTTTACCCTTTTACTCTAAAGTGACTTGGACTGGAGAATAGCCATATGCATGAGAGGACACATGTACCCTCAGTAACCACTGCGGAAACATCATATTTCATCTTATTCTCTCACTGACAGCACATGTAAGAGCAGGCCTACAGCCATGTTTCTCCAAAATGCCTGCAGTGGTTTAGACTCTAGTGCAGATAAAATTGCCACATCCTCCCCATCACGTCCTATTACTGTCTGACCTTGTTTCATGAGGAATCTGTGGATTAGTTTGAATGAGTTTGATTGGGTCTGAGCCAGTGCGTGTTGCATACAACTGCCATAAATCATAATCATCAACTCTTCTGCTTGCAAATGTATTCACAAAGATAAAGATGTATTAGCTTATACCTTACATAATTGAAAATAGCATTTCTTTCTTTTTCTTTCTTTCTTTCTTTTGCTCTCTTCTTTTATTTTTACTCTTTCTCCCACTGCTGATCAGTATCTCCTGAGAGGAAAGAATGTGGGCCAAGTTTTTCACAACACACAGCAGACTGTTACTGTGAGCGATAGAAAGATTCTGTTTCTTCTCCTCATCCCTCGTTCTAACTTCTCTTTTTGTCTTTCCTTTTTGCAGCAATTCCACTGGGTCTCATCGTTGTCCCGGGAGACAGTGATTTGGAAACCTGCCGAGCTCACATCGAGAGACTACAGGAGGTAAAAAATGAGAGGGTGGGTTTAACAGATGGAGTGGGGTAAAAGTGAGAAATTAAGAGGATAGGAAAAGAGAGGAGGAGAGAGGTGTTAGAGTTTGATTAATGATGGGAACAGTCAGTCAGAGTCAGAATGTAATGAGGCAGAAGTTATACTGCACTACAGTACAGAGCAGTGGTGCTCAACTGAATTTGCTTTAGGACCCAGATTGTACATCTAGTGGCAACACAACACAGTATCACAATGGTTAATTATACAGTAGCAAAGATCTGCAACTCCCTTATGAACAGCCGTTAATGAAATAGGTATTATGAAATCAATGAACAAATTCATTTCAAATCATTTATTCACCGTCATATTGTTCCAAACCTGTTATGACTTTCTTCTGTGGAACATAAAAGAAGATGTTTTGAAAAAAGTTAGTAACCAAGCAGTTTTGGTGAACATTGACTGCCATTTTATGGACGAAAAAAAAAAGCATTTCTGAAAAATATCTTCTCATATATTCCATAGAGGAAAGAAAGTCATACTTGATAAATGATGATAGAATTTTAATTTTGGGTTAATTATCCCTTTAAATTATACATATTGTTTATTCATCTATGTTCTAGGTTAATGTTAACTAATTATATGTGAAAAATAATGTCTTTTCGAACAACCTAGTATGAGAGCCTGTTCTAGTACATCCCCCAAAACAAAATCAAGACTTTGTAAAAGAGCATAATAGGACCCCTTTAATAATAAATTAAACACAAAACTGAAAATGGCGCGACAGCCCCTCACGGACGACTGCTGCGCACAAACAGAACCAAAACAACATAAATAGTCCAGGCCTGGTCCTCTTGTCCTCCACTGTCGTCACTCCTCCTTTTATCCTTCCGGTGCTCCTCTGTGGGACTTGAGACCAGTGAGTGGCGCAGGTGTCCCTCATTATCTTTCACTCCACCGGCCTCACTCCGTTCCCACAGCTCTCGGCCCCGCCCCACTCGTCACATTATACAAATATAACTTCACAATTAGCTGAAAAACAGACCAGTAAGTTTAGAGGTATATGTACAGTAAATTATGGTTTAATGGTTCACACACACACACACACACTCTCTCACACACTGTGCAGCAGGTCAGAATGAAACACCCTTGGCAGTAAGGTTGTGTGAGTGTCTGGGGCAGAATTAAGTGTTCTTCAAAAAGAAAAGTAGTCTCAAAGTTAAATGCGTACATTCATTCACATGCTGTAGGGTCTTCTCCAAGAAACACTGTTGTCCATCTGCTCCAATCTGTATTTATCTGAACTGACGGGCTGATCTAATGGGCTTTGTGTGTATGTATCTAATGTAATGGGGTCTCCTGCAGGACTTTGTGTCGTGTCACCCATCTCTGCAGCGGCTGGTGCTCCAGGTGGGTGAGACACCTGCGAGAGGTGAGACAGGCACTCCTGGAGCACTTTCAGGAACAAGACTGGAAATACAGCCTGGACAATGAATCGAGAAAACCAAACAGAGTGCTGTTTGTACAATCAGATTTTGATAGGCATGCCTCCACAAACCCAACCTAGATAAACTTCAACAGCACATTTGTGTACTATAAAATTATGCTCGGAGGCAGACATGTTTACCGTGAGAGTGCATAAACCACTAGAGAGATAAAATAAGCAAGAGAGTTTGTCTTCACATACTGTAGAGCTTAACATGATCCCTAAAGCAAAGTATTCTGAAATTCATCCTAAATCTCTCCCACATCTTTCTCTGTGAGATTAGAGCACTCTAGCGCCTCCTAGACCCTAGTCTGTTTGCAGACGTGAAGAGAACCCTCGTTAGTACAGCATTCCCTCTTGACAGATGTTATGGGTGAAACTTCAAATAAGTACACATTACAGTAAGCGCTTACTAAGTTAAATCCACTCGATCAGATCTTCGTTCCCTGAAGATTTCCCCTGGGTCCTAAGTGCTCCTGTGTGCTTTGTTTGGATGGATGCCTTGGATCACGTTTAGCCTCTGTAGAGAATGGCAGCTTTCTTTATAGTGATGGTGCATGCAGGTGTTGTGTTTATTGTCTGCTGTGAGTGTAGTCTTTGTAATGTGTATTTGACTCTGTTGCATGACTTATGTAGATCTTCAATTGGCAGTTTGGTGCTTTAGGGAAAGAATCGATGTGACAGAAAATAATGACAGTCTGTGTGTGTGATGAAAATAGTAAACTTATGCACTGTTCATATACTGATCATTTGCTTCTGCAAAAACTGACACTAATCGGAATTCTATCAACCTTTCTTCTCTTCCCATCTCCTACCCTATATTTTCTTCTCCTTTCTTTCACAGGAAGGTGACAGGACCAAATCAAAGGCTTTGTCGTCTCAGAGGCTGTCGCCAAAATGGTGCTTTCTCGACTGTGAGTATTCTTTTCACAGTAGTTTGGATGTTAGAATTCAGAGTTAGATCTGGGGTACTGAACAGCAAGTGTGCCATGGTGGCCCTCAAGGATGTGGGCTGGAGCTGTGTTTATCAGTGCACAAAGCTGTAGGTGTTTGCAGTGAATAAAATGGCAAAGAATAAAGGTCAGAGATTCAAAACTGTGAGTCAGACCCACAAAATATTCTCTTATCAGTGCCAGAATCAAAGCTAGGAAAAGAGAAAGAGTCATGAATCTCCATACTAAAGAACAGAATCTACTCTGGCATTTCAGTGCTAATAAGGAGTGCCAAGATGATTACTGTCAGCAGGAGAGAATTACAGCCACAGGGAAAGATTATATTTTTTAAATATATTCAATACATTTTTTAAATTAATTCAAATAGAAAACAGTTATTTGTTATAATATTATAATATTTCACAATATTACTTTTTTACTGTATTTTTTATCAAATCAATGCGACCTTGGTGACTTCTTTCAGAAACAAGTCATACTGACCTCAAACTTTTTAATGCTAGTGTATTTATTTAAACAGTGCTTTATTGTTTGTTTGCACACTCTATCCTACAAGCCCATTATTGACACTATGCATACCTTTATGTGAACAGCTTTCCAATTTTTGCAGTAATCTCCTTTTTGATCAGTGTGAATCTGTGAAGATGTGGATTAATGTCAGCTCAAAGAAAAGTGGAGAATCGGACTACATAAGTCTTGAAAAGGATGCAACGTGTTCACAAACTAGTAATATCAATGCATACTTAAAGAATCTCATATAATGGCAACTAATTTAAAAAGACTGATAAGGGGGAAATGTCTTCAAGGAGTCAAGGCTTTTTGATGACATTCTTCAAATGTAAACATTCCCGAATGCACTGAACTTTCAAGGAGCAAAGACATAATTATACAAATTATGTATTCTATGAGAAGTGATAAATAAAAATAAATAGCTTTTTGCATACAGGTGTCACTTTTGTTGAGAGGTACATCGAAGCACTGACGCGAGTTGTGTTGAAAGGGCCATCAGGCTTTCCTCTGACAGCATCTCAAGATGTGGGGAGTCAGTCAGCATTATACACAAATCCTCTGTGACAGCTGAGTCACATTCACATAGATCCTAAACTGCTACACATCAAATACACATTCCCCTGTTCAATAATTGCATCTTTCCACCCTTTTTTCATCCTTACATTCCTGTCCCTCCTTCCTCACTTCCCACCGGCCCAGAGGAAAATTCATCTCCTCATTGTAAGACTAAAAAGCTTCCGAGGGCTTTATTACCAGAGCAGAGAACTGCAGGATGAGTCAGAACTTTTCAGAGGGATTGTGGCAGCACTTCTGATCTCTGCTCAGTCTTATGAAGTTGCTGCCAAGTAATTACCAGTACAAGCAGGGGCAAAGTCTGATCCGAGGCCAGTGTTACACAGTTTTCCTGGATCATCTCAGATAATTCCTGCCCCAGAGCAGATGTCACCAGAGTGTGAGGAATCATGTGCATTCATTACTTTTGCTGCAAATGTGTTATTTACAAGTATGAGGAGAAGCTTGTGGGAGTTTATGTGTGCATTTTCAGCACGTGCATTCTCTTTGGGAGTAGTTTGCATCGATGAGATGTGAGATCCACAGCAATCTCTCTTTTCCCGCTAATTAAAGGTGACATATCATGAAAATGATAACTCAGCCGGACTTTTGCAGGTTTTAAGTGCTATAATCAGGTCCCCGGTGCATCTACCAACCAAGGAAACGTAAAAAAAGATTAACCCAGTAACTTTGTTTTGGTAAGCCTTTTTCTGCAAGCGTCTGAGAAAATGAGCGCATCTGATTTCGCTCCCTTGGTGACGTGGCAAAGGGATCTCATTATAATATTACCGCCCCTTAATCTGTAAGTTTCCAACCACAGCGCCGTCATTTTGATTTCGCAAACACAACGGTGTACGAGCTCTAATGCCATGGTGAAAGTTTGAGCAAAACATGCTAACTGTTCTGTCTTTGGCTGCACAGACGAGCACAGAACACTATTTACAGTCCCAGCCTCAGAGGAGACAAGAGAGCAGTGGATTTATTGATTTATTTACTGTATATTGCTGCTGCCACACAGACCTAAAATAAACATGTGGTTTATTTCCCAGCAGTTTACCTTCACAGACATAACCAACTGTTTTTGTAACTCGTGTGTTTTTAACGTAAACTTGTGTATGAATGAGAACTTAGTTTAGTACTCACAAACTGTGACAAAACCGTATATCTGAAGTTTAAACTCATATGATTTAAAACGCATGATTTCAGCACGATAAAATTGATAATCAGAACCAAAACAGATGTTTTTAGCAGATA